GTGCTTTCGGGCCGCGCCGCATCGCACGGCAAGGCGGTGCTGAGGTGTTGTTCGAGCCGGGTGGGTGTGGGTGGAAAGGAAAAGAACAGCAGTGGTTGCCCAGACGGTACGTTTTCATACGTGTGGACGGGGCGCTCGAGGTTCCCGGCCCATAGACCAAAAGTGCAAACGATAGTTCTCGTCCATGAACGAGCACGCGATACCTACCCATGAGTACGTTTGCTCTCGACGCACCGCAGCGGTACGTAGCGCACGTACGTACGTACGTGCGCACCGTAATTTTTTCAGAGGCCGAAGAACCATAACAAACCAAGCGAGCTAGACGCGGTACTGCTGTAGACAGCAAAGGAAGCAAGCAGGTACTCTTACCTTGTTCTCCAGTTGGTGTCCGGCTTGCCCTTGTCGTGGTCCATGAGGGAAACCGGCGAGGGCTTCATGTGGGGGTCGGCTTTTTCCCTGATGTGCTTGCATTCCTCGTCGAGCAGGAAGTTTCTAGCCTCGAATCTGCGGGGGAACAGCCGAAGAAGCCGCAGAAGCCGCAGCAGCAGCAGCAGCAGCGATAGCGACAGAGAAGGTGTTGGTGCCGCAAACATCGCACAAAATCGCAGATCGTGGAGCCTCCACGGCTGAAGGACGCGTAGCAATCCTGTACATAGCAGCATGTCAATTTCCCGCGCGGACCAAGCAATTCGATCCACGTACCTCGTTCCCCAGGTGTTGTTCTTAGGCTCTGCGTAGACCAGATATTCATACAAAGCCAAGGCCTCCGGTGCAGCCCACATTAGTACAGCAGCACAGCAACGATCAAGCGCCGGTCCTATCCTACTGCTACTGCGCGAATACAAAACAAAAAGCCGAAAGATAACAACAACCGAGGTCAACAACAAAGTTGAAAACAGTTTTTCACCTGCCGCACCACGGACGACGACTAGACCCAGTAACTCTTCATCCCCGAAACGCTAACCTAGATCATCTACCAGCAAGTACGGGCGTGGTCACTCACACGAGCGGCTCCATCGACAGCGTCTTCATGTCGATCGAGCCCAACGTCTCAAGGCCGTGCACGGTCTGGACGTGTCCCACCTCCACCCCCGGCCAGATGAAGTTCCCCCCTGCCGGGTGTTAGACGGGCCGGCAGGGTGGGAGGGCAGGATGTGAGTCTGTGGAGAAACACATACGAGAGATAAACCCAAGCATACGCTTTGCGGGCACGCGGAAACTTCTCCACACGTGCACACCACCACCCCAAGAAAAATGACAACATCAAGGCGGGGAAACAGTCCGCAGCGTGTAAGACGTACCATGTAAGACGTATGAAAGCACGGAGCGTTCCCTTGGAAAGAGGGTCTAACAAAAAAAAAAACATTGGCCTCCTCGTCAGTCGAACATGTGCGCCAGGAGTACATACAGCACACCCCCGTTCAGCTTGCGCGACATGCCGTGTCGCCAACCAGAAACCGCCGCCTGGTGTCCTCCGGGAAACCCAAGGCTGAGAATCACGTGGTGAAAAGGGAGGAACGGCACCAGTGTAAAACGGTTCCATGACACCACAACCCGTCCCATCAGCAGCCCGGTTTCAACAGCAGCCTCCTCAAACCCCGCCCTCTTGACTATTTTTGTCCCCGCTTACCCTTGAAGATGAACACGAGTCTGCTGGCGATGGCGTCCTCCAGCGACGAGATGCGCCGCTGCCCGTCGGGGGTGTACATGGCCCACGGGAACTTATTGGGGGGATCCGGGCCGACGTCGTCAAGCCTGAGCCTCTCCGTCAGCTCAGCCTTCTCGCACGACCAAAACGGCAGCAGCAGCAGCAGCAGCAGCAGCAGCAGCAGCAGCAGCAGAAGAAGAAGAAGAAGAAGAGAAAGCATCAACACCCATCGCCAACGAGAACAGGCTGCAACGGCAGCAACAAAGGTCAACATCCAACCACACACCACAAAAAAAAACGAAAAATAACGAATCAACAGCATCGCAGTAGGGAATAAGCCTGGACGTACGAGGTGAAAAGGAATTATCGTATTCACGGCGTGGGACAACCAAGCTACTTTTGGTGTTCAGCCATACCAACACTTCCATCTACACAGAGCCCCCCCCGCCTTAGGCGACACCAACCCATCCTAAAATACTGCTGTACACAGAAGCGGGACGACAGTCCAGGTGTGGAGTAATCATAGGTTCTTTGTTGCTTCGATGATAATTTTTCTCCCTCGATGGGAGAGTACAGATGTAGTACCTATTCCCCGACAGCACAGGGGGGGGGGGGGGGGGGGGNGGGGGGGGGGGGGGGGGGGGGGGGGGGGGGGGGGGGGGGGGGGGAGGGGGTAGCCAGAGAGACCAAGCCGACCGGCACGAAGACGCGTCTTTATCTACGATATGACGCACATGCAGCACGCTCGTGGCGCTGCTGCTGTCGGGCGGCGTCTGCAGCGCGAGCGTCTGGTTCCCCTCGCCCCGCCCGTCCCGGAATAGCGTCACCGACACCACGCCGCCACGGCCGCCGCTCGAACCCGCTTCCTCCTCGATGCACGCCAGGTGGAAACCCGATACGCCGTGCGTCGGCGACAGGTACCTGTGAGCACCGCAGCCCGGCCCGCTCACGTCCACGGCGTGCAGGGACCGAGAAATCGGCGGCTTCGCTGTTTTGCCGTGCCAGAAAAAAGGAAAAGACGGGGGGGGTCCAGCGGTTGGGTTGTCAAGGAGGGACCGGGGATGGGGGGGGGGTTGGTGGAAGGGCGAAGGTGAAAACGAAGGGCTGATTTTGGGGGGCGTTTGTGAAATCGGGGTGGACAGCCGTACACGAGGAATAACTTCGGGAGTTATTCCGCGCTGCTGTTGCTAAGTATCGAGTTGCATGTATGTGCCTGCGGCGTCGAACAGATCGGATGCTGCTCGCAGGGAAATCGTCTTTCGATTGTGCTGGATGCAACACACGTCCCTTTTAGACGTGGTGTTTGTCAACAGCAAGCCATTACTTCGGAACAATATACTACGACAGCGAGGCTGCCCGTGTAAGGCGTGACACTCACAAAGGGATGTTTTCGAGTCCTTACCAAGTGGATTATATCCAGATTCAGTGACCAATCAGTGACACTCTGTTTCCCCTCGACGCTCATCCCAACAAACAGGAGTACCCGGTGCAGCAACTCCCGAAGTGAAGACCTAAGACCAAAAACGCGAGCAACACACGTGCGATTGCCTGTTGCTACCATAAGACATGGCCTTAGCCGGGTGGGTGGGTCATGTGCCCGTGTAGAATAACTAACATCCCGCACGGCCATCGATAACTGCTGCTGTGGGTGCTTGCTGGCTCTATAATCCGTTGAGTCGAGGGTGGGAGGGTGAGAACAAGATGCCTAGTCGTTCAATCTAGGCAGGAAATACACGCCTGACCCGTGGCGTGCATTTGTCTGCAGTAGGCTGCTATGCGTGCAGCCGCTCGGTGTGCGTGTGTGGTACTGAGTGGCAGGATGAATTTTGGCTGTGCCAACTACAACAGGCGATGATACCCCGTCAACGGCTACCGACTTCCGTGTGGTGCACCGACAGCAGTGGAACGGGTAGAATCGCTTCCCGCCAACTGCCTCGAAATCGAGCATCGAATCTCGCGTGCTGTTGCAGTTCTTTCACGTTCCCGACACCACCTCGCTAAACATCCGTCCTGAACAGCAGCAGTCTCTAAACGACGAGTTTAGCTGCGAGCGCGGCTCCACTTGCGACGTTTAGCGCGGATGGAGATGCGGTGTCGTACATATGCGCTAAGTAGGTTGTTCCGCAGACAGGCATGGATGCATGGTGTACTGCTGGTAAAACACATGTGAAAAACACAGACGACTACCGCACCATTCGTTTTCGCAGAGTCGGTCGTGACCTCTCCCGCTGTCTCGCCCGTGGCTGGCGTAGAAGGGTCCCACAGGATGCCCACAACGATCCCGATTGCTACCGCAACTAGAGGGAAGAGCCTCCACAGGCCGGCAGTTTCCTGCTCGGGCGGCGCGTTTGCAGCAGTGCTTCCATTACTTCTAGCCGTTAGCGACTGCTTTCCTTCGCCTTTGGTGGTCGCCATGCCTCTCTCTCTCAGGCAGAGCTGGTCTCACACTTTGTCTCTTTGTCTCCTGCTGCTGGTGTGGTGCTGGCTGTCAGCAGCTCGCATTGTGGGGCTCCGCAGAATACAACCAAGGGGTGCAACCTCGGGGTAACCCGGTTCACAAAAAAAATGACCGGTAAAACACAGCAATGCCCTCTCTGCGGACGGGGTGCATATTACGTCTGCAAGCGCAAACAGCGAGCATACTAACGAAAGATTGGTTGAATGGTGTATTCTCCCACATCTTACCCCCATTCAAAACTCTGTACACATGGCTGCGAGAAAAATAAGGTTTGAAGTACAGGGCGTGTGAAAGATCCCCCACACGATGAACAACCCGAACAGCCATAACCGGTTGCCTACCGATGCTACTGCGTAGTGTATGTAGGAATCAACGACAAAGATCTTGACGGCTTGTGGTATTGAGCCTGCTCACTCAATTTTTAGCTTCAAGAACCTTGCAACGGCAGGTGCTCTCTTCGTTTCGCGACAAAAAAGGTCCGCATACCACGACTGTTGTTGTTGTTGTCTTCACATGAAAAACCGTTCCGGTCTCCACTCAGTAGCTTCTAATGTCCGAACTGGTCCAACTGACGTGGACGCCTTCCGTGGTCACAAGCCAACTGCCCCACAACACGATGTGTTGTGTTTTTCCGTCGGGTGGATGTTGCCGGTTGGCCACTCTGTTCCTGCACATACTACGCATTAGCATCAGTAGGCAACCGAATGATGGCTGTTGGGCCGACTTGCTGAGTACATGTTCTGTCGTACTCCATCGCGTTGATTTGATTGTACAGACTGTTTGGTACATGAACTGCATGTGACGGTGCAGTAAATTGAGACACTGCCTGTATACACAGCAACTCTTGTCGCAGTCAGTGTCCATGCCAACCAGGGATGATGCCACCGACAAAGGGGGAAACAGTATTTTCGAGGAATGAAACAAGATCGATGTTGTTCCAAGGAGATGAAACGAGGAAACCACCGGCCCCCAAACGCCATTTGCCCGTGGGACGGTGTACTGTGAAAGGTGCGCGTCACACCTAGTTAGTTAGGAGAGACAAGTGATCACTTACCCACACTGCTCCCACCCAGACCCAAATCAACAACCAACGTGTACTCGAACCGACCATTCATCCCTTCGTGGCCTCTAAGCCATCTTCGTAGCACACTTCCAGCCCGCCACCACACCCGGCTACTCCCTCCGCCCCATCCCCACCATACAGGCGAAAAAGCATCGCCAGGACCTCCTGCTCGACAAACGCGACCATGTTTGCCGGCACATAGCCGTCTTCCTCCGAGCGCGCCACCGTGATGACGCCCGGCCTCCTGCTCCAATTCGCGCTGCTGCTGCTGCTGCTGCTGTTGGTTGCGGCAGTGCCGCCCTCGAGCAACGACCGCAGGAACGCTTCCACCGACTGTACCGAACTTTTCACTTCTTCCCGGGTCGCCAAGTGCCGCGGCAAGCACGCGCAGTGGTCCGCCCACGCGACTTTTTGCCGTCCTTCCCGCCCGATACGGCCAACGACGGAGGCGAACTTCCCGGCGAGCAGGCGATCTTCGCCGTCCGGATCGAACAGCTCCGTCAGCCGCCGCAATCCGCGAATCTCTTCGCTCGCGCCACTGCCACCTCCACCACCGTCCGCCTCCTCCCTCGTGTCGACTTCCTCAGAAACAGGCGTCGAGCCGTCAACTACCACCTCTCCAGGAAATCGTCTACTCCGAGCAGCACCGGGAGACCCCTCCACAAGGTCCTTCGATGCTGGACAACCCGCGGCGATCGCGCGTTCGGCTTCTCCCTTCGTGTCCGCAGAAGGTTGTTCGGCCCCGTTGGCACTATCCTCTCTGGCGGCTCCAAGGAGTCGGTCGACCTCCGTCTTGAAGATGCGCTCGTGTTCCAGCTGCGTCTCGTGCGGGAGCGGCGTGGCGGCCCCGCGGAATCGAGGCTTCTCGAAAAAATCACGAACCACGGCCGCGTCCCTCTTTCCGATGTGGTCCTCAAGCTCCAAAATGAAGGGGTTCTCGGTGGTGAAGTAGTCCTGCAGGGCACGTGTCGAAAGTGGAGTCGGTGATGTGGGTCGGTCTTTAGCTATTGTATTCACACACAGCGTATCACAAGCATTTGGATCTTCAGTCGGTGGTGGGAACGTCTTTCGTTACGCACACAACGTATCACAAGCGTGGCATCTTCGACAAAAAATGGGCAGGTGCCGTGCTCCTCTACGAATGTTTTTTGAAGCTATGTACGCCAGTAGTGTGGACGCCTACCAAGCAGATGTCCAGTACCCACGGCGTTGTTCGGCTGCAGCCGCCCTGAGATTTCTCCGACTGCAGTGGTGCCGTTAAGGTCGTAAACCTCGTCGAACAAGCCGTTTCTTCTGCCACACGCGCACCCTCCGTTTCCTCCGTCCCATCACCGTTTCCATGCGCCACGGTTGGCGACTTCCCTTCATCGCTGGCATCTGCTTGGGCGGCCACGCGGCTCTGCGGGCGAACCGAGTCCACCTGCAGCTCGGCTCCAGAGACACACTCCGCTGGAGACCGCAAGTTGTCGGGGACGAGACTGACGCACAGATGCAGGGGTTTGCATTCCTTCATGTCCTCCTCGCGGCAGTAGAGTCTGTCGTCGACGAAATAGGGTGCTGTCGAGGATACTCGAAGTTTCCCTGTGGTCTTCACCTGGCCGACGCAAAAACTGAACCACACACGGCAGCAGAAACGGTGACGTTGGCATCCTGCTTAGTGACTGGTCCCCTGGCGGGTATTTGGTCGAAATGTTTCGCCGTGGTTTCTGTGCTTGTATTGAACGGACTCCTTCGATGTTGCCTGTTCTCTTTGTGTAGCTGAGCGAACAATGCGTAACAGAGAACGAATCTAGGCAAATCATGAAATGGAGAGCTCCACCCGCGCAAGGTCGTAACCGCAATTGTAATACAAGTAAACATCATTGAGATCAACGAGCACCTGCTGTTGCAATTCTCTACATGAAGAAGCGACAGATCGGTTCATGCGGATACAGCAGTGCTTGCAGCATGACGTACCGATGATCCCCGTCAGTGAACTGCCGGGCCCAACGCGGTCTCACCCACCACAGCGTGGAAAGATGACCCTAGTCAGACGTAGGGGAGCATGTTCGGGAGGTCCGCGTTGTTGGAACTACTCGTAGCCCACTACATTGTACGGTTGATGCATACTGGGCACATTTCTATGGAGAGTGCAGTCAGTAGACTACGGGACAACAGAAACTCTCCTTGGTTTCCTCGTATCTTGAGCTTCATTCGGTGATAGAAATTACGAGACGGGTGAACGTGGTGGTGCACTCCTATGACCAACTTCTTCCCCACGTACGTGTTCAGTTCGATAGCACACGACCCCCGATCTCGGCCCGTCATGCTCCGTTCACACGAGGGTTATGATCATCTAGTTAGGTGTTGGATAAGCAGCTTGGTTGGGGCGCGCAAAACGGGTTGAGTCGAGAGCGACTGGCGAGGAAACGTGCTGGATGGCCAGGAATCTCGCAGCACACGATGGACGCCCACATTAGCAGCCATCGATGCCTTACCTGGTATACCATCGGTAGGATCCACTCTGCGATACCTCCCTCTGTCCGGGCCAGGGTGTCGTAGAGTTCGTGTGGCCGGAAGCAAGTTTCTGCGGGCATGTCGGGTGTCACCATCAAGTCCGGGTGGGCATCGAAATGGACAGCCGAAAGGCCCGTGAAGGGCAACGCGCCGTTTCGGATAGCCCCGTGTATTTTGCTCAACGCATCGCAGTGGTCGTCTACGACGTGGCATCGCAAAGCAGGCGTTGGTCTCGTACGTTTCCTCCCAGCAACTCGTGTTCTTTCCATCAGTAGTGTACAGTAGGCACAGCAGTAGTATATGTTGCACTTCGAGAGGCTTTGAGCTCACTCGTCAGATGGCGCCAGTTCTAACCGAACCATGATGGCTCCTGGATCGCTGGTTAGGCAGGGACAGAGGGTAGGAGTGTAGGAGTAGAGCAGAGAGGCAGTAGAGGAATCACAGGCCAGGACAGCGGGACTGTCATAATCTCACCCCGGCAGAACCAACACCCGATGTACAAACCGTTTTTCAGCCTAAACCTCAAACCATCGACGGCCGGCGATGGCATCGACAATTGCCATCTGTAATCCACCTCCTGCCTCTACCTGCAGTGGCTAGCCTTTCAAGCATGGGGCTTCTCAGCATACTCAAGAAAGTGAAGCAAAAGGAGAAGGAGGTTCGCCTCTTAATCTTGTGAGTACGATCTGCTTTTTTAAAGAATGTGTTGTTTGAATTTCGTAGCGTTTCTCTTTTCTCTGTAGAGGTCTTTCTCACCTGGCGTCGCCTAGACTTGCACTCCCGCACAGCAGATGTGATGCTACATGTAGCTGTCTACCTCGGAGCCCCAAGTTACACATGTCTCTCCCGTGCGGTGTGGGTTCTGGAGAACACAACCCACCCCCCGCCCCCCCACGAAAGTATGGTTTGGATATGCTACATAGCCGACCATCGCGCTGTGTAGACTGTGCAACCCTAGTCTACAGATGTTTCTTCGCACCACGCTATCACATGACCCGCTCCCTGGCCGGCACACACATCGAGTATACCGCTGAGACCCGTGTTGCTGCAGATGGGTGCTCTAGCTATCAGTGCTTCTTAGTAGCGAAGCTGAACAGCGCGAGAGTAGAATGGGGTTGTAGTTGAAACAGCCGGAGCTCGTTTTTGCTGCGTCGCCACACGAGTACCTCTATCCGCCGCAGTTGCCGAGCCTGGAGTGGTGGGTGAAGAGCTGTCGCTGCAAGACCACTCTCCGAGCTCTATCCCATGCGAAGCCCTCTAGTTGCTCGTGCTGTTGGCTTTTCGATAAAGAGCCTTCGAAGCTTGTTTCTGTCTTCTGGCTACAGGGGGCTGGACAACGCCGGCAAGACAACCATCGTCAAGAAGTTCAACGGGGACGACATCAACGCCATCGAGCCCACCCTCGGCTTCAACATAAAAACCATGGAGTATAAGGGCTACCAGCTTAACGTCTGGGATGTGGGAGGCCAGCAGACCATCCGGTCATACTGGAGAAATTACTTCGAGCAGGTGTACCTCATGGGGGGGGGGACAGGATACCGATATAGATGCGATTCTATGGGGGTGGGGGGGCACAAAAGCCGCCAATTGTCTGTACCATACCGAGGTACATTGACAATGCGATCCTTCTTAAAATGTGCATACATGCGAAGTAAACCTGATGCACCGGGGAACACGCTGCCGTTGCTATACGTTGCGGAAGTTGTGGTTTCAATCCCGTGGGTTTTTTGCAGTCCACTGCCGAGCCGCGCTTGTTGTACAGCACGCCACATGTCGTCTTGTGTTGTGTCTTTTGAACCCGATGAGGCCCTCAACCCAACTTTCGTTCTCTCTCTAGAGTCCAGTCATACCTCCGACGGCATCTAGTACCAGCCTGCTATAAACCCTTTTTTATGTGGAAGCACTGCGCTGTAGCACCACCGGTGGCGGAATACCCCCATCTAAGCATCTAAACTGTTGTCCTCGACATTGAGAGCGCTCCCGCCCTATGTAAACCCGTGCCAATTGCTTTCGGTTCGTTCATGATAGACCGATGGGCTGATGTGGGTTGTGGATAGCGCGGACCGAGGCCGATTGCAGGACTGCAAGCGGGAGCTGCACGACTTGCTCGGACAGGAGGTAAGCATCGTGGTGTAGGCGGTGCATGGTAGGAGGTCGGACACGTGACGGGTGCACGCAAGCATACAATTATCGCTGAAGAGCGTAAACTACTGCTGGCCACCACTCTGGTGAAAGTACCAAGTGCCCTGCCTAGGCTTTGGCTCTTTCTATTGCGGATGGTGTGTGATACTAACTTCTTGTAGAAGGTCCTCCCCCGCCATCTGGTGACAAAACCACCAAAAGACTCATCACATGAAACAAGTTCAGTCCCCACGCTCGACTTTTCTGCTCAAGAGGGTTCTATGTCACTGAAAATCGCCAAGAATATTCGGTGCTCGTTCACCAGACGTATGCATATTTTGCCCCGGCACAGTATCTCATGGAGGCGTGAATGCCGTCTTTCGCTGACTGCGATCTCTTCTCGTGAACACACACGCAGAAATTGGCCGGAGCATCGTTGTTAGTGTTCGCTAACAAGCAAGACCTTGTAGGGGCACTCGGGGCCGCGGAGATCGCTCAAGTTCTTGGCCTCGAATCCAAGCAGTTCGCCAATCGACACTGGAGCATCGTCGCCTGCAGCGCGGTCACCGGGGAAGGGCTTGCCCAAGGGGTGGATTGGATGGTCCGCGATATCGGAGCCCGAATATTCATGATGTCATGATGATACGCGCAGCAGCGGTGCCTGGATAGGTAAATAGCCCGTGGAGAATTCTCGGCAGACAAGCAAGCAGGATCGGTACACGCAACAGTCGTATTAAGCACCATGTGCTTGTAGCCCGCGAGGGAGGTTTCGAGCGTGTGGTGTCCGTCGCGTCCTGATCGATCGGCCACGTACTGGGGTAGCGCCCATGTAGAAGGAGGGACCAGAGAGGTGGGGGGCAGAGAGCAGAGAGAGAGAGAGAGACGGGCACTCTCACCGTCCAGGGCCATCCCTTTCGCGAGGATTTGCGACATGCGAGCAGCAAAACAGAGCTTGCGTCACGGTCTTCGGGAGCTCTTATGCAAATGTTCTGTACACCATCGTTTGGGTTTGGGTTTCGTCCCATGTACTCTGGAAGACAGTCTCTTCAACTTTCTTTGGATATGTATATGGTCCGTTCGGGCAAATAGTCACAATCTTGTTTTTCGCGATAACTTTCGAAAAAACACGATTCGGAAAGTGAAACAACTTTGGCCGTGACCGCGGCGTCGAGCTTCGTCCATATCCGATGAGATTATGGTGATTGGGTGACATGCGACATTTTTGACCAAAATGACCCACGGAACTCCCCCTCATGACCCCACGGAGCCCCCAAAGTACACCACGAACCCCCCCAAACCCCTCCCTGTTGCACGTATTTGCCTTCATAACATCAGTTAAACCGTTGTCAATCCAAATCTACATTATTTACACCTTACATACAATACAGAGCGAACCGCAGAACCGAACGGCAGTTTCGCCTGCCCGCGACCTGGGTCGCCACCCGCATCCTCATCGCGCCAGTCGTCGTGGTGGTCGTTGGTGTGCATGGGAGAAATCTCGGCGCCTTCATGGTCGGAAGAGGGAGAGTCGTTGCCCACAGCAGGGTCCGCAGGGGAGGAACGGGCCTTCCGAATCGTGCCGTCGGCGTTCCTTGCCCGCTTGCGCTTTCCCTTTCTTGGGCGACCCATGTGCCCGGAGCGCGTGTGCGCCTTTCGTAGCGTGCGTAAAGGGTGTGTGTGTGTGCCTCTGGTGTGTGTGTGTGTGGCGGGAAAAAAATCCCCGAGGGCGTGTGAAACCACCCGAAAAATCTCCGAAACTCGAGTTTTTTTTTTTATATCGGAAAAAAAACGTCGGTGGTCAATCACGAGAGGAATCGATTGCCGCAGTATATTTTTGAATCGTATGGTTGGATAGTCCCCAAGAAACTAAGCAAAATACCCTCCAAAATCGTTTTTTTTGCCCATAACTTCGTTATTTTTTTGTCAAGTTGGAAATCGGAAAAAAATCGGCGGTGGCAAATCACGAGAGCTATCCAAATCCGGTCTCAGATTTTGTGTCTGCAAAAAACACCGCCCTCCAGAAACTAGGCAAGATTTCTTGAATATTTGAACATATCGAGCGAAGGACATAAAAAAAAAAACTCTTAACGAAGATGCGCTTTGAAACGACGATTTACGCAATATTTTCAGATTTCGGAACAAATACCCCCACCCCGAGAAAAGTGCACCTTTGTGCAGGGGAAAATTGTGTGAATTTGTGGGCAAACGGACCATAGGTGCTGGATGATTCCGCCGGGCTCACAAAGAAGGAAGTCCACGTAATGTACTTTCTTTCTTTCTGCGGTGCTTGCCTTGATTCTTCAAGCGAGAGGGATTTTAGTACCTTTCCCTCGTTCGGCCGTCATACCGAATTGTTGCGTATGTACAGACGAAGTAGCGGCATACCCAATTTATTGGGAGAAAAACGAAAACTCCCAGTTCCCGTGACCGCCCCAAGATTCGAACCCATGCCCCCAAACATCAGAAGGTTGCGAGGTACCGACCGAACCACCTTCGTCCTCCCATTGCGTGGACCGAGCGCACACGATCAATCACGACCGACGTCACGTAAGAACTTCATACGAGATACATTTGGCGACGCGGCACGTCAGCAGTGTACGTAGTTCCAGTTCCACACAACTTTCCACCCACGATTCAATTCGGAGTTGCACGACACAAGGTGCCACCCTCCTGAAGAAGGAAGTTGTTATAACGTACCCTATTGAACCGTGAGCCAATCGCAAAGCTTGGCGCGGTCAAGAACAAGTGAGTACCCTCCGCCGCAAAAAAACAGAACCGCTACATAACCTAGACCGAACAATCAATCAGATAAACTAAAAGTGAACTAATACAAGAAAGCAAGGTGCGGCTGGTGGGACGGCCCTTCATCGGCGATCCCGCGCATCCCAGTCCACGCGTGGCCGCTTATTCGCGCGCCCGCCCCCGCCATAGTAGTCTCCACCGCCGCCCCCGCCGTGGCCATAGTAATCTCCTCCTCCTCCTCCTCCTCCTCCTCCTCCTCCCTGAGGTGCAAGCTGCCCGTTCATCTCGGCGAGGGCTAGGCCGCCCATGCCTCCTCGTGCTGGGTCGTTCGTCGCGCGCGCTTCGTCTCTCACCTGCTCCGGGGTTTGCCATTTGATTTGGGATATTGAGGGGGGGATATGGGTATCTGCGTTGTCACCGACATGGGCGGCCATTGCGAACACTCACCCAGTGGTAAAACAGCCGAGGGCGTGCGATGTATATCTATGAATGGAAGCCAATAGATAGGTGGCTTGCGCAAAACAACTGGAAACATTTTTCAAGATTTATTTTTTATCTGGTCCACTTGACACAGTCATGACATGGTCGGCAAGGTGCGGCGAATGTGGCCTACTTCATAGTCCTACCGCAGTGAAACCAGCGATACCTTGTTGGTGTAATCCAGCTGGAACAGGAAGCCGAACAGTTGACGCTTCCAACATTTAACTACACAACAGGACCCTCTCCATCATTCCGGGCGAAAACTCGATCACTTTGACCAACGCTTCGAGGGGGTTGTCACTCACCTGCCCTCCCGACATGCCGCGCCCATACTGCCGGCCCTGCTTAAACCCTGGGTCGATTCCCACTTTGATGATACGCTCGTCGAGCGCCGTACCGTCGAGGCAGGTAATCGCCATTAGCGTGTCGGAATGCTTCGTGTACCTTGAAGCAGCGAGCAGCGAATCGGGGTACGAGCGGATACGGCTGGGTAAGGCGTCACGAGGATTTTGGGGGGGNATACCAAACGCTCTATCTGTGTCAGAGTAACCTGTTGTTCCTTCCCTCTCGCGGGCATGTGACGGAACCCATCGGGTACAAAATGGTAGCCTGTTTCGTTGAAGCAGGGAGGATCCGCCGATCGCACAGATTCTACAGCAAAAAAGACAACCACATGAGGTAGTACATACGGAGAAGCAAGGCAACACCCCCATTACCGCAACCGGCCTGACCGGTAGCGTTGTTGAAGACATCCAAGACGAGAGCGGTGGTTCTACGAACAACAGAGTGCATCTTGGCCATGTTTATCCTTCCATGCCGTCTAACAAGAAACACGGTGGGATTTCTATTTCCGGGCCCTTCTCGCACAGCAGTTGCTTACAAATATGCACGTACAAGACTCACTCGACGAAGCAGAAACCGCACGGGGACTTCTTCACGCGGTCGAGACCCATGATCACTCTCCGAACCGCTCCAACCTGTCGAGAGTGGCGAGCACAGAAAATTAGCTGTGTCAAGTAAAGAAATAACTAGCTCTGAGACAAGCAAAGAAATTTTTTTAGCTGTGACATGTGACGCTTCCAACGCAGCCGACGTAGAGTATGTCTTCGATGCTCTGCTGCTCTCGCAGGGTCATTAAGGTCAAGCACAACTGCTGTCGTTACTCTGGGTGAGCAACCGAAACAATAACACATCTGTCTTCGTGTCTTGGGATCAACACGTCACGTCAAGATATGCATACCGACGGCGGTGCATCGGAGATTGGAACGGATATGTATCGTCCTGGTTGTATGCTTTTGCGGTCTCATCTACGGCCGGCTCTCCCGTTTACTTCTTCGTGTCTTGGGATCAACACGTCACGTCAAGATATGCATACCGACGGCGGTGCATCAGAGATTGGAATGGATACATGGATATATTTTTTTCTTCTCCCATCATTGGACTATGTCGTCTGCCCCTCTGGTCCCTATCCTCCACTTCTACCGACTAGACGACCCAACCGGGGCCACATAGGAGGGGGGAGGTTGGACCCCCTCCTGCGGTTCCTGCCTGAGATATTTTTATCGCGAGAAGGGCACAGCGATCCCTTCCCTCGCGACTTATGAAGTCGATCAAGTTTATTAACAACGAGCTTTGCAGCACGTTGCTTCCAACGGAGACCAGGATATAATTAGCGAGAAAAAACTCATTCTGTCGGGACTCCAACCCATGACCTGGCCCATTAAGCTTCACAGGCTGCGAGGCTACCCACTAGACCACCGGGGCGACCGGGTCGGATATGTATCGTCCTGGTTGTATTGCTGTCTCGTTCTGGGCCGGCTCTCCCGTTTACTTCTTCGTGCCTCGGGATCAACATGTCACGTCAAGATACCGACGGCCGTGCATCAGAGATTGGAATCGATATGTATCGTCCTGGTTGTATGCTATATAGCGGTCTCGCCTACGGTCGGCTCTCCCGTTAATTTCGCTAGGGCGCCGGACCTGTGCGCTTTTCAACTGCTTAGCCTCACAGGCCTCTGTGTCTTGTTGTTGTTGTGTCTGCGAATCAATAAAAAGATGCGTTGCGCTGGACATTCGCCTCTCAGCAACCATGCATGCTCGTACGCATCGTCCACTTGTAGTAGGGAACGGGGGATGCACCCCTGCTGCCGAGACAATCAAGCCCCCCATCTCACCTGATCGAACAGGGCGTAGATTTGAGACTCCTGCGTATAGAAGGACAGGTTCCCTACGTAGAGCGTGGTGGACGTCTTGAGAGCCTCCTTGTAAGCCTCCAGCGAGGACCAGTTCTTGCGGTCCCAGTAGGGACGCTCGGACCACCCGAAGTCAAGCATCTCGGTCATGGTTCCCTCCTCAGCGCTAGTAAGTACCCTAGTACTGCTGTAGGTGGGTGTGCTTCAGCCCCGCCGCAGCTGCGTTTGATGTCAATCCTCCACAAGAAGATGCGATGTTTTCACCTGTATCCCGTGTTCTGTAGAACCAAGCATACAGAACTTCAGCGTAGTGGGTCAGCAGCGTCTGCTACTAGCAGTGGTAGACACAGAGCAGGCAGAGAAGATAGTAGAAGCTGTGTGTGGGCTTGCCGCAATGCGCAGCACACAGCACAGGACGGCGCTGTACCCGCCGCCGAAAGGAGGTGGGGCTCCGCCATTTATACTCTCATATGTGCTGTAATGTGTCTCTTTCGTCTGCCCCCGCGCCTTGGCGTGCGGGGAACGAACGCAGGATCAAGTCAAACCAGCGCACACTGCCAGACCCTGGGCTTCGCAAAGGAAGGCTTCCGAGTTTCGGGAGGTGGATAAGCCTCACGTGGAGTAAGGTATGGGGAGGCGTTGCTCAATCGGTGCGGTCCGTAGGCAGCCCTCAAGTTGGAAGGTTCGTTCCGCACACGCCAAAGCCGACAGGCAGCAAGGAACTTCGATTTCAGTACATATACCACCGTCTTCTACATGGGGCGGAGGTCATCCCTTTTGTGCCGTTCATGGAGTTCTCAGCTACTACAGCTGCTTCCTGAAAAAACATGGAGATTATCACACAAGGCCTCGATGAAGCTACGTCTGCCTTTCTGTGACAGCGAGTTTGTTGGGAGAAGTGTGTGGGAGTTTTGGTCTTCATGCTGGCTGGTTTCTCCTCTTCTGCTGCTGCTGTGTTGTTCTGCCCAACACAGACTCTTAGACGGCTTGTACACGCTTTTTGTGCTCCGCACGTCGCAGAAGAAGCGGGCAGTTTAGCCACAGATCTATGTAGGCATGTCGGGCTGTTTGGTCCTCTCCCTGCACGACAACCACCTCCCGCTTTGTGTATCCCAGCGTCCCGCTTGTTTGGCGGATCGCAGCACGATATCTCGCGTCCAAGCCCCTCCTCCGTTCCTACGAAAGGGAGATACTGCACTGCTGTACGACACGCTTACAGCTCCGGTGCAATGGTAAATAGTTGCAGCTGGAATATGCAGATATGCATTATGTACCCACCAAAACTGCCTTCTTCACCCAGTCGGAAAAACCCGTCTCGCATTCTCCAACATCGATGTCAAACTATCCGATTTACGTCGTATCGGTGACCATGTTTGGTTTTTACATACGGGGCTACACGCCGCCGCCGCTGATCAAGGGTAAATAGGAAGCACTGACTGAACGCCTTTGCGATATGGTGTATGGCATGGAAGAAATGAATGCTACCGTCGTGGTATGCACCGGCGCCCTATTGGTCTTGTAGTGGTCTAGCGGGTAACCTCGCAAACGAACGCACTTCACAAAGCATAGTAGGTGGTTAGGTTGCTGCTGTTCGAAATTCTGTCTGAGGTGAACATTTTGCCACCCCATTGGGGAGCAGACTGTACTGTATATATTTACTTTTGTTCTAAATAAGAGGGAAGGGAGTGCTGAACCTGTCTCCGCATCGCACACGCGGGGACGTGGGGAAAAAATAGTGTTGTACTACCATGACGTGTATATGCATATGTAACCTTCGTTGATTCGCCAAATAGATACAAGCTGAGAAGGTGACTGGCGCACCCGAATACGAAGACGGGACGAATCACAAGGCAACGCAGAAAGAGAGAGGCAGGAAGATGCACGCGGCCCTCGGAACCAGTGCTTTCTCTCTCGTGCACCGACGGACGAACAACGAAGGTGCACCCGTTGGCAAATACCGAGGGGCCTCAATCGTAACACATCAACAGCAACTGCGTGTTAATCTTTGTCAATGTGTCGCCCTTAGGTTGATGACAAACATCGGGTGCGATGAACCTCTTTCGGAGCCGGGTGGATGTTTTCGAAGCCATCAACAAGGGTGACTGGCAGAAGGTCAAGGACAACGTGGTCCCGGGAAAGGTGGGGAGAAACGTCGTTCGGCTCGTGCGTTTCTTGTAGAGGCCCTGCGCGTGCCCTTCTTTAGTGCAGCCCCCCCTGTTCGTACATCTCCATGGGAATCAGTCTGTGAAACTTCACTAGTAATAGTTCCGAAGAGACAGCTGTTGTGTTTTTTTTTCTTCTCCCATTATTGGATCCCCCCCCTGGTGTTTGCCATCGGGGTTGGGTTTTCGTCGCTTGGCAACGACG